AGATAGCTGGGGAACGGACTGTCAGAAATCCTTCTGTATCCACAGACATTTAGGTTTCCTCAGCGTCCAACATGGAAACAGCCCAAGTGTCCCTCAGCTGATAAAGGAATATAAATAAACACAGTGTGATCTAGACCCACAGTGGAGTGCCATCAGCCCAAGACAGAACGACGACAGTGCTTACTGCAAGGATGGACCTGGACAACATGACGCTAATTAGGCAAGCGCTCCACCACTGAGCTATGCCTCCAGCCTCACGATACTAATTAAAAGAACTCCGTCACAAAGACCATCTTATGATTTACTTGAGTGAGATTTCTGGAAGAGCTGATCCACAGAGATACGCAGTGGAGCCCAGGTTGTGAAAGGCTGGGGGTGTTGGCCAATGGCTGTGGGATTTCTTTCGGAGTACGAAACATATCTGGAATTAGGTAGGTATCGTGATCGTGCAAGAGTGTAGCTATACTGAAACCTATGACATCGTTTTTATTTTGGAGACAGATTATCTGTAGCCCAGGATGGTTTTGAACTTGTGTCATTTAAACTTGCTTTGACCTAAAACTTCTGATCTTCCTGCCTCTAGTTTCCAGTTGCTGGGCTTCCATGCATGTGCGTGACTGCTGCTATTTTCCTGTATTCCGTGCCGGGGACCTGCCGCCTTGCTAGACAGGCACGCCACCTATGAGCTGCACACTCGTACTCTGGAATTACTTTTTTATTTTTATTTTTTATTTTTTGGTTTTTCTAGACAGTGGTTTTGGAGCCTGTCCTGGAACTAGCTCTTGTAGACCAGGCTGGTCTTGAACTCACAGAGATCCGCCTGCCTCTGCCTCCCAAGTGCTGAGATTAAAGGCGTGCGCCACCACTGCCCGGCTTGGAATAACATATTTTGAAGGGTAAATTTTTTGGTGTGTGATGTTAATATTCCAAAAGTTATACAGCGGAAGCCCCTGGTTCCTCTTTTGTCCTCTGATTGATTGATTAATTTTTTAACCACAGCAGGGATCATAAGGGGACCTGAAGCAAGGCCCTGAGCTCTGTGTGACTGGGAGGAGGTGGTTGTGAGTGGCGCACAGCTGGCCCTGGCCACCAAGTCACACCAGCCTGAGAAAACAAACAGGATGGAAAGGGCAAGGGCATGTATGAAGAAGCCTCACTACAACATCTGAAACCCAAGCGCGGGTGCATAAAACCCCACACTCTACCCAGACAGGTCTCTGGCCGAGAGGATAGGGGCTCGGCTTTGCTTTGCCTAGACACTGGTGTGAGCGTTGTATATCCGCTCCCTGAGGTCAATGTGAAGGCAGTAGAGCTGAATGAGACCTTGGGTCCCACTGTTGGGGCTCAGTTTCCCTTGGCCTTTTTATCTGTGTGATCTTGTGGAACGTGAGTCTTCTCCGGTTCTTAGTTCTGTCACTGACCATACAGGACAGTAGTACCTGCCTCCTGGGGTACTTGTGTGCGCTAAATGAGACATACATGCTATAGCACTGAGCCTCGGCTGGCTGCTGTGGCTCCGGAGTGGTGGGTCCTGCTGGGGCTTGGGCTCTTCTCCAAGACCTTCCGGCACACAGTCATCAGGTTCAGGGATGGAGATGGATAGGACTGCGGGCAGGTCAGGGTGTCAGGTGTTGGGAGGAGCAGGGGTGGCGTTACAGCTGAGGTGGAGGAACGGTGACTTTTCCTCCTCCGTAGGAAGAACCCTCTTCCAGGGCTTCCTGCCTGACCTGTGTGGCTGTGGACCTATTGCTTCCAGCTGGAGTCTAGCCTCCTTTGGCCAAAATGAAATAGCAAGAGAATGCCACCACATTCTTCACGGACTGAAAGCCCGCAGCTAAGGACGACAGTGTCCCCATCTCATCCCAGCCTTGCAGCTAAGAAGGCTCTGGGAGTTAACCTCCCACCCCGGGTGCTTTCTGTCATCTCTGTAGCTGCCCACAGCACAGGACAGCGCAAACAACAAGAGGACAACAGCAAGAGGAAAATATGACGTCTGCCTGATGGAATGGCAACAGGAAAAGCTAGTGTTTATAGAAGCGCTCAGAATCGCCACATAGCCAAGGTTATGGGATGCTCTGCCTATCTCCTGCAAACCGTCCGCTGGCTTCAGACCCAGGCTGGAGATGAGCAGAGCGCGCTCCGTGGCAGCTTCGCCAGCCAATATACCGCTTAGGAAGTCCGCCACACGAGTGTCCAGACAGGTGCGTGCCACTGCACACACCACTGTGCTTCCGTGACTTAACGAATAAAATGCGGTGCGGAAAGAAAGGGTCATTACTGCTGAGAGAACTAGGTAGACAGCTTTGGAAAACTTGAGACGCAGATTTGCTTTAAAATGCTGATACCTCAGGTTGGGTGGGACACATACGAGAGACCGGAATAAAGATCTGGAGGGATCCTGTAGCCAGATTCGAGGACCAAAGTCCGTGTTCTTACTTCGCTTGACATGAAGTCAGGATTTGAAGATGTTTTATCATAGGAAAGGTTTATGCAAGTAAAATGATGAAGTTTAGTCAGAAAAAGATGTTGGCTCTCTACTGGAAGATTAGCAAAGGAATGCATGTATATCTTCTAAATTAACATAAAGCGTGTCTTTAGGGTGGCGGTTTCTTTTTAAGCTAGTCTTTCAAATTAACCGACCCATATGCTAGTGGTAACAGAGCTGGAGACAGGACATTTACAGTACCTATGTGGGTCCTTCACATCTCCTCTTTCTTAACACTGGGCAGCCACAGTGAGATTTCCCCAGAACTGTGGTCCCGGGGTTCTTTCTCAGAGGAACACTTACAACATCACACGTAATTCAGAGCTCAGCTGTTTGGAAGAAATCTTGACCCTCATTCTTCTTGCAACCCACCATGTGGCTTGGCACACTAAGAATAAAGAAGAGGGGTTGGGGAGACAGATCTGTGGGTGAAGTGTATGAGGACCCGAATCTGGATCCCTGGCACACACAGAAAAGCAGGGTGTAGACCAGGCTGGCTTTGAATTCATGAACTCTGCTGGCCTCTGCCCCCTGAGCACCGAAATGACAGGTATGTACCACCACACCTGGTTTATAACCCCAACACTGTGGGGTTGGAAATATGGGGACTCTGGGGATTTCCCTAGCCAGCCAGTCTAGGGAAAACAGAGAGTTCCTGTCCTGTGAGAGACTGTGTCTCAAAAATTAAGGTAGATCGTGATAAAGGAAGGTGATCGACATTTACCCCTGGTCGCTATATGCATGCACTAGGAAGTGCACCCTAGCCCCATGCAACCAATACATTTCTCTCTGTTTTTCTATCTGTCTGTCTCTCTCTCACACATATACACACGCACACACATATATACTCTTTTGTTGTTTGGTTTTGGTTTTTAGAGACAGGGTTTTTCTGTAGCTTTGGTGCCTGTCCTGACCAGGCTGGCCTTGAACTCAGAGAGATCCACCTGTGTCTGCCTCCCACAAAGGCATGCGCCACCACCGCCTAGAGCACACACACACACATACACACACACACATACACACACATACACACTTTTAAAAAGTAGACAAAACTTTGTAGAACAAACAGTTAATCGTGGAATAACTTTTAAAAGATCTAGTAAGTCCCGCAAAGGTCCACACATTGTCAATCAAGGATTTAAGGTTCACAGATGACGCATGGTCCCTCTTCTTGGGAGACTTGGCAAGGCTAGAGAGACTATGTATATAGCCAGATACACCCATCTACAGCAAGCACTAGAGGAGGTTTACGCTCAGCGTCAGAGGATGGCAAAAATCAGCAGGTACTTTAGATCAAAATGACAGACACATCAGCTACTCACCTCCAGATTTCACGATATTGGGACTCAGCCTTAAAAACCTTGTCCCAAGCTCAGTCTTTGGGAGACTAGCAGCAGGAGGAGGAGTTAGAGGCCAGTCTGGGCCTCATAGTAAGACCCTGTCTCAAAAATGAAACTAACTATAAGAAACGTATACAACTTTGTTCTTTGCTCATTGCAGGAGAAGGATCAAAAGGGAAGATTTCTTTTTGTTGTTTTTAGGCAGGGTCTTGCTGTACAGCCCTGGGCTAGCCTTGCACTCACGCTCTTTCTGCCTTAGCCTACTAAGTACCAGGATGGGTACCACTACCATGCCTGGTTTGTTAAGGGCGGAACATAGTTCTGTATGTTTGTCCTCTCTTCCAGCTTTCACCACTCTAAGGAATAAATGCCACTGGAATTATCACCCAGCAACTGGGAGAAACAGTCCATACCCCAGTGGACCTGTCTTTAAGCCTGTCCTCCCTCTATCGTGTCTGGTCACCAGACACTTCTTAGTGTCTCTGATGGAGCTGGGCAGTGACAAGTTTGTCTCTGTGTGCACAGCTGACCATGCTGTTCTCTCTCTCTCTCTCTCTCTCTCTCTCTCTCTCTCTCTCTCTCTCTCTCTCTCCATTTATTTCATTATGTATACAGTGTTCTGTCTGCATATATGCCTGCAGGGCAGAAGAGGGCGCCAGATCTCAGTACAGATGGTTGTGAGCCGCCATGTGGTTGTTGGGAACTGAATTCAGGACCTCTGGAAGAACAGCCATCTCTCCAGCCCAACCATGCTGCTCTTGATGACTCTGCCTGTATGGTTCAGCCATGGTCTGCAGAGGATGGCTACTGAGTGTACTCATTTTGATAGAGTTGCCTTGACTTCTTCCATTTAGCCCTGAAGTTCTGAATTCTGATTTGGGAAGTCCAGTGACCACTCTCACTTAATTTTTACCCCCCTCCCCCTTAACCAATAGCAGCAACAAGTATCAGAAGTCCTTGGATTCTAGGTCCCATTTAAGCCTTCTCCAATCTTCCCTGTACCTGATGATCTAGCAAAGCCTTTTTCTGAGACCGTAGTCTCTGCATGCACAATGTGTTACCTGTGCAATGGGCTATCAATCACTCCCTGCTGTGATTGCATGCCCCCAGCACACACACACACACACACACACACACACACAGATGTACACTCATGCACACACACACTCACTCACCATGAGATGCTGGAAGAGCCAAGAACGCATTATATTGGTGGCATGCTTGGGCAAGACTCCTCGTTTGTTCTTGGACTTCTTATCCTCATTGTCCAGGAGGGAGGTGAGGTCAAGGTTAACCTTCAGGGCACGTGAAGAAAAAAATCAGCATCAGCAGCCTGTGAGGCCAGTGGCTAGGGACCTGTTGCCATAGTAATGGCACACTCTCACTGCCAACCCCCTTCTCCCAAGTTATTCTTGGGGCCCTGGGGAGGTCACCTTTCATCTCACCCCATACCACCCCCTCAGAGAATGGAGATGAGGCTTGGGGTGAGAGGAGCAGGGGTGTAGGAGGAGGGGAAAGGGGGATGGGAGAGGAAACAGCAGAAAAGGGTCATGCAGAGAGTACTGAAGATGAGAATTTGCCATAAACCATCCAATAGTAATTAACATTTCTGTGATTCTTTACAGTTTGCAAAGCACTTTCCTGTCCCTCACCGCATCTAATCCTCATCACAGTCGGTCATGTAGGTGGGCTGGGCTGGCTGCCATTGGTATTAATCCTTCTTTATTGATAAGAACTGAGGCCCAGAGAGGTTAGGAGACGACACAAGATCAGAGTTAATGTCAGATCACAGGCATCTGACTAGATCTTTCTATAGATCTGAACTCTATATCACTGAGGTACAGAGTCGTGGGAGCTGGAGACCAAGCACAGGAAATACAGAGTCCTTTGATCTTAACTCTGGAGGCAGCAAAAGCCCTGGAGCTGATAAAACCTTGCCTAGATCCAGCCTCCTATCCAGGAAGCAGCCTCTTAGAGGTGAGGATTAAGTGAGTCACTTGTCACAGTGCCCAGCAGACAGTAAACAATCACAGCTAGCCTTCCCACCGCTCATGCGCAAGTGCACACACCCACACACACTCACCTGCGTATTTTGGATCTGGATGGCTCCCTGGGGGATTGCTTGGGTGACCACCTGACCTTGGGAGGTTACCATGGTAACCGGTTGATATAAGGCTCCACCTGAGGAGACAACCAGTTTTGGGATCCCCTGCCATGAAGGTGGGAAAAGAGAAGGCAAGCAGGGTCCCTAGTTGCTTGGCACTCACAGATGAAGACTCTTGGGGACCATGCCAGAATGGATGACTGTTCCCTTTGTCAGAGAGGAGTGGGTGAGGTGAGAGATGGTGTCCAGAGGGAAAAGCAGAGCCTTTGGTGGGAAGCATTTAGGGGAAGGGAACCTTACTCAGTCTTGAACGTGGGTGCTGGGGGCGAATCATGAGATTTTGACTTAAATTTGTTCCAGCCCATCATAATCAAGTCTTGGTGGTCACCGCGTGCAGAACATTTCGGTCAGGAAACTGAGTGGAAGTCCCTCCCTCAGCAGAGGACACTCCCTACTCCCAGAATTCCCCAGGGGCACCCTTTCCTCTCCCAGGATGCTTCCCACAATTCCCAGAACCCTGTACCAACCTGACACGACTTGTGAGTTGACCGTTGTCATGGCGATGTTGCCCTGCTGGAGTGCTGAGGCTGGGACCACAATCCCCTGGGGATTATTGGAGACTCCAGACATGGAATTGGGGGAATTCTGCAGGAGGTCCTGGCAGTAAGGGAGGGGTGGTTTGGTGACAATGTCCCTAAGAGCTTAGAGGCTACAGCCCCCGTCCCCACCCCCACCCCACAACTCCTGTTACTTCCAGGCACAAACTAGAAGGCAGGTCTCAGGACGTCTTAAAATAAATAAACCAAAGACTCATAATAGCCCTACACTTACATTTCCTTCCAGTGGCAACCTGGGGCCCGAATGATCCCCTAATCTGTGAACCTCACTGCACCTACATTTTGGAATCTGCAGTTATGAGCTATGGGTTCCAAGCTCAGTCCCTTCTTTAATGGGGTGTGTTCCAGGCTTGACATTTTAAAAACTTTCCAGGAGATTCTGAATTGCAGAAACCCTCCATTCGTGGTTGGAGAGATGACTCAGGTCATTAAGAACACTGACTGCTTTTCCAGAGGGCCCGGGTTCAATCCCCAGCACCCACATGGAAGTTCATAACTGTCTGTAATTCCAAGATCTGACACCCTCACACAGACATACACACAGGCAAAAGACCAATGCAAATAAAATAAAATAAATTATATATATAAAGAAACCCTCCATTCACCTGCTCAGCACTCACTCATCTGCAGGCTCAGTTGCCCAGATGTTCATCCTGGCCCTCCCCTCTTCCAGCACCTCTGTTCTTCACCTACCTCCAACACAAAACAGCATCCAATGATGTGTTGGTCTGCTCATTCACCCTTTGAAATGCTGACTTTCATGCACATGCTGGGCAAGTGATCTACCACCTAAGCCACACCCCCATCTCTCCAGGGATTTGCTTTTGGACATCTTTAGTGCCTATATTATGATACTAAGATGTTTGTTTAAGAATAGTAAACAAGGGGCTGGAGAGATGGCTCAGAGGTTAAGAGCATCACCTGCTCTTCCAAAGGTCCTGAGTTCAATTCCCAGCAACCACATGGTGGCTCACAGCCATCTGTAATGAGGTCTGGTGCCCTCTTCTGGTCTGCAGGCATACACACAGACAGAATATTGTATACATAATAAATAAATAAATATTTTTTTAAAAAAAAGAAGGTATGATTAACAAAGAATTGGAGACAGGTAAGTATTCAAGAAAATGGAGTAAACACGGGGTGAGCTTCTGAACTTTTATTTTAGGACTTTAAGAAGTTTGGGCCATTGGCCTACAGGAGCAGTTTGGAATCTGGATTGAGGAAGCACCCATGATTAGAAGAAAGCTCTAGCCAGTGACTACCTACTGGTGGTTGCAAACAAAAGGAAGATGTCACAGGCACAGAGCACAGTCACAACACTGTGCCTTCCACTGTGGCATCCTGTAAGTCATGAAGGAGGGATGTGGGAGTCGGCAATGACTTGAGTTTGGCTTGATTCTGCCTGGTGAATCTCCCGCTGTGTCTCCTCTCAAATTACCCCTTTTACTCTCCAGGACCATCCCAGCCCAGAGTTGGGGGAATAGCATTTCCAGAGAAGCAGGACCAGGGTCTGGGGCCCAGTCCTCCATCCCACCCACTGCCCCATGGGGCTTCTGGGTCTGCTTCTTTGTGAGGGTGAGGCAAGAGGATTCTATTCTATTCTTAGTTCTTGGCTTTGGTGACCTTGGGCAAGGGAGAGGGCAGTTCTTGCCTTGGCTTCCCCTCCGGAGAGCTGGGTGAGAGCTTCCCACCAATGAGAGTCAGCTCTTGATCTGTATAGTTACACAGTTGGAGTTTAAACCGAGCTTAGCACACAGAAGCCTAGAAGCTGCACAAAGTCATTGCCCATACCAACTTCCTGAGTGACTCAGGGAAGAAAATAAAGTTCTTCAGAGGGCCTGGTGGCTTACTTAGGTCACACAACTGATTGCCAGCCACGGGACTAGAACTCAGTCCTCCTTACCCTCGCCCCAGCCAAAAATATTGAATAACTATTTTGGGCTTCAAGGGGCTTCTTGAATCTTACCCATGGAAGATAAAAACAACCCAAGTCAAGAAGCAGGTAGAAGATGGTCAACTTGGGAACCACGTCACACCCCTCTTGGATACCCTTTACTTCCTTACAGAGTTGGTTCATGAGTTTTCAGTCTTGAGGCTTGAGATCTCCTGGTGCCAATTTCCCATAGAACCCTTCCCACTGAATGGAACCGGTACTAAAGATGGTTGTAGCAGGAACAAACTAAAAGGTAGATTTCACAGAATGGGGGAGCCCTGATGTCATTATGCCTAAAGCCACGGGAAGTAACTACGCAACAGTCTTCATTTGGAATAAGCCATGTTGTGGCACTCCTCCTCAGATAGAGCTACATGAGGGTTTTAAATATAAAGACTTGTCCTAGGCTCTCTTCACAACCCCAAAGTATCCCGCAAGGTTAGGAAAACACAAGGAAACGAAACATAAATATAAGACGTGCATTCTGGGATTCAACTAACACACACAGTTTTCTAGCCAAAGACCTACCTGGACACCTCGCCTGCTTACTCAAACTCTGGCTGCTTTTCTTCCTGTGGCTTGGAGAGCGTCCATGCACACTCACTTGGTTTGGGGAACTAAAGGTAACTTTTGTTCAGACTCGGATCGTTTTCTCCCCTACTCTTCTCCGCCCTACTCTTGTTGTTTGGCTGTGAGGTACTGAGAGGGAGCCAAGGTATACCAGCAAAGAGGTGGAACGGAAAAACTTCAGGGGAGAACGTGTAGGCAGGGCCAGGGGTGGCCACATCTTAGCTGGGGCAAGAAAGAGAAAGCAAAGTCTTGACTCCCTGAAGTTGGTGTCCATCCCATACATCTGCAAACCAGGAGCTGCTTCACACACAGATACATACACACAATAATATATGTGTATATATATGTATATGTACATGCATATGTGTGTATATATATATTATTTTGAATAATGTGTGGGTGTGCAGGTATGTGCCCACGTGAATGCAGGAGCCCTCAGAATCCCGGAGAGGCCATTGGCTCCCCTGCCACTGGAGTTACGGGAGTTGTGAGTCACCTGATGAGAGTGCTGAGAACTGAACTCAGGTCCTCTGCAAGAGCAGTGTGTGCTCTTAACCACTGAGCCACCCCTCTAACCCACACTGAGCTGTTTTTAAAGACATGAATTCTCAGGGCCACTGAATCAGGCCCTCAGGAATCTGTGTATTTCGAAACTCTGCTCAGGTGGCCTCCAGCATCAAATGGATCTGAAGAGTACCAATTTACCATACACATGAAAACCAAAGGGTGTTCACTACCACTTGGTTTCATGCTAATCTCGCCATCACCTTACAGGGCTAACGGGAGAGAGATTGTCCCATTTTCCTTGAAAGCATTAATGTCCAAAGAATGGAAGGGGCTTCCCTGACTCAAACAGCTGTAAGTCCCCTTGAGTGTAGGATGGAGGCTCACACAGAGAGGCGTTAGATCCACAGGCTCATCTACAAACACACTGCAGAACCCTAAGCAGAGCCCCCCGTCTCAGACTCCACTTGCTGGGATTCCAGGCTGAGCACTAGTCTCTAGCTCTGCGCAACGGTGACAAGGCAGCTCTAACTCTCTAGGGACAGTCTCAGTCTTTTCTGAAAAAGCCACGTGGCAGCAACAGAAGCCCTGGGGAAGAATCTATTGATTAAATACATGGCAATGTCATCTCCTCAACAGCTTCCTCAGAGGCTTATCTGCTTGTGTCCCCAGGTGGATGCTGCTGTGTGGAGTCACAGAGAGACACCCACGGTGAGCTGAGTAGCGCTGCGGCTGCAGTGTTAGCGGCTTCTCCAGCATCCAGTCTCGCATCCCTGCTCGAAACTGCCTGAGTACCAGGCTTTAAGAGCTGCCTGTCCATTCCAAGAACTCTGCTGTGTCTCCCTGGGGAGCCACTGGAAGCCTGGACTCCACAGGTAGTATTATTAGAAGCTCCCCATTCTCCACCCCCCACCCACCCCTATGGGCTGTTTATTTGAGAGGCAGAGGCAACAAGTCCCTCGGAAGTGGCTGAGCAAGTGGGAGCAGCAAGTTTACAAAAGTGGAGAACTTGTCACCACCTGCAGCGTCACCCCCTCCCCCCCGTGGTCATTGCTCATCCTTACAGACGTCAGTGGTCATTTTACCCCGAGTCTCATTTGTGGAGCAAAAAGGTGACTTCTTCAGAGGAAGGGCTTTACAAGAAGGGCCCTGGGGAGCGTATGAAGGGTCATGGCACACACAAAAACTGACTGTGGCTACAAACCTGGATACGAGGTTTGACTGACTGCACCAGGGGAGAGTTGACTTGTCCTGAGCCTTCTCTCTTCACTCTCAATAAGGAAAGGGCCCAAGATGCCCAGAAAGTTATTTTCTACTCATAGAAGAAATTTCTGGGGGAAAAAACCAAGCCAAACCAAACCAAAACACGATGGGCTAAAAAATAAAAGTATGAAGGATAGAAATGATGGAAACATTTCTCTTGATTTGGAATTTATATCTTACTAGGATACCCCTGAAATAGGGAGATACACTGGATGACCTTGCAAAATCCCTTGCAATTGAGGATTAAGGAAAAACCAGTGATAGACTTTAGGATTTCAGCGGAAGGATTAGGGCCCAGCAATCTGCCATCCTTGTCCTGGCCACTAGGGGTCTCTGTGGATCCACAGCCTCAGACCAGTTTACCAACCCCTCCCAGAAGGCTAGGTCCAAGGTTTATTGACCTGCCCTGAGAGGAGGATGGGGTGTATGTATTTCAGTGTCCCACCTTGCAAGACATGGCCATGGACAGAGCCCCTGAGTCCTCATGGTTTCCTATTCCTTACACAGGGAACACGGAAAAGTTCTCTCTTGCGCAATGTCTTGTTGCTTTAGCGTGGGGATGTTTCTGAGGGAAAGGAGGCTGGCCCTCACTTTGACACTGCCCAGCACAGTGCTGAGTGTGTGCTAGGTGCTTGTTAGATCTGTATGGGTCTAGGTGTGTGAGGAGGTTGCCTCTGTCCCCAGACACCCTTTCTGGCAAAGTCCTTCTGTTCTATCACAGCCAGATATCACAGTCTTAGCCTAAGAAGAGCTAGGCTTGCAAAGAGGCA